CCCCGTCTACTGCCCCCCTGTCAACTGCACCCCTACTGCTGCCTCCTATTCGACCAGCCCCCCTGTCTGCTGCTCCCCTGTCGTCGACGGCTTCCCGTCCTGGTCGACGAGCTTAGCGCCTTGTTGGCCAATGGCGATGCCACTGGCCAGTGCCACAGGCGACGCCTCAAGGCTCCCCTCATCGCCAGTGGCCGACACAGGTGTCGACGTAGGCCGGTCTGCGATGGGGATGGGAGGAGCAAGGACAGGGGGAGGAGGAAGAACTTCCACAATATTCTTATCTGCAGGCTCGTCGACCTCGGCGATCAACAAGACTGTCGCCGTCGAGGTGTCCATCGGCGGGTGTGCCTTCGTCCGCCCCGACGCCGGCCCATTCTTTGCCTTCCACACCTCCAGCGACAGCGTCTCGTAGAAGATCACCTCGACTGACGTGACCACCTTGTTGTCGGTCAGGTCGAGCACCTCCCAGCCCTTACTCTCCGGCGACACGCCCAGGTGAAGCCCCCAATGAGCCTTTGGCGCCAGCTTCCCACCGCGCTGCTGCTAGGGAACCATGAACTGCACCATGCAGCCCCACACCCGCGCCAGCGTGAGGTCGGGCATCTTCCCGGTCAGCAGCTGGTACGGCGTCGTCCCCAGCGGTATCATCGACCGCTCCAAGCAGTCGCGCACCCAGATGGTATGTCGTAGAGCGAGGTGCCACTAGTGGCGCTGCACGCCCATGTGCAGCAGCATTGTCTTTGCAGACTCGATGGCCGTGCGCATCTCCCGCTCAGCCATGCCATTCTGTTGCGGAGTGTGAAGGGCACGTCAGGTCGTGGATGATGCCCTTCCCGTCGACGAAGTCGGTGAACTCCTTCCCAAAAAACTCCCCTCCCCGGTCTGAGCGGAGCATCAGCACCGACTTCTTTGCTTGCCGTTCCACCAACACCAGCCACTTTAGGAACTCCCGCAGCACGTCGCTCTTCTTGGCGACCGGCATTGCCCACACGAATCAGCCACCCGAAATGGCCCGCACAAGTTAATGTGCACAACAGCCAGTGCCTCCTCAACGTCCGAGCCCTTGTCAGGGAAGGTGTGCCGCACCAGCTCAGATTTCCTCCGACACACGAGACGCACGGGTCTGATCCGGACGACGGCTTGATGTCGAGCCCAGTAGCAACTTTGTGCTTTGCCGGGCTCTTGATCCAGTCGACGCTGACGTGCGTGAGCCTTGCATGCAACCGATCAGGGGCTGACTTTGCCGCCGAGACGATCGTCCGCAGAGCCACCACCTCGATCGACGATGACCGTGTCAAGCAGGGGCGAAGGTCGGTGCATAGGACTCGTCTGGTGTAGCGTGCTCGACCGAGCACCTCCCCGGTCGACCTTGTAAAGGTGGGACGGTGATCTGGTCCGGCGAAAACTTGAAGTAGCCATATGCCGGTGCGATCCCGCCTGCCGTTACGTGCGTTGTCGCCGAGAGCCCTCCACCGCTTCGTAGAGGAGAGCGATGTTGACCATCGACGTTGGCACGCAAGCTGCCTGCAGTCGCCGTGGACCGCTGCACTCGCGCCTGACTCGTGTCGACGCCACCGTCGACCTTGATCACCCCTCTCTGCTTCGTGCCATCATTGCCGCTGAAACGTGCACCACCGTCGACCTCGTCGTCGACGCCACCTTCGTTTCATACCGGTCGAGGAGATGCAGGACGAAAGGGTGCTCCGTCGCCCACTGCGCCCGGATGCCAAACTCGACGATAGCCCAGAGAATCGTCCCGTACTCGCCGTCCTCAGTGCGTTTCCGCGCATCAGCCAAGTGTGCCTCCAAGGTGTCCGCTACTCCTGCATTAGCTACGGGGTCGACCATGGCGACTAACGCGGCTACCGGCCTACGAACGACTTAGTAGGTGCAAAAGTAGGTTTCTATCTGAATGTAATTTGTTGGGCCGTCCACGCTTATCGCACCATGCGGTGATTTACTCGACAAGGTAGTGAGCTAAACTACAAGTGGGGGTTGGCACGAACTACTAGGAGTAATCAAAACTTTGCTTAGTTCCTTAGCTGCACGTTCACAGGAGAAATTGGCAAGAGCTTTACTAGGCTTAGGTTGTATTGCAGAATAATTCAACAAGGAATGACGGAAATGACTACATCAGGCACCTAGCAACTCTGCGGCTAGCCTGGTCGACCGCCCGCACAGCTTGGTCGACCGCCTGCCAGCGTTGCGTAGAGGAGTCGTGCCAGCAGTGCAAAAGGGCGACCTGCCAGCAGAGTAGGTCGACGGCGTGCCAACGCTGCAGCAGAGTGGCTGTGCAGAGTTGCCCCGTATGAGACAGCAGTGTGCATGCTCGTAGGTGCGCGCAGACGATCGGCCCGACTTGCATTGCTGTGCATCCGCCGGCTGTTGTCTGCGCCTGACGAGCCACATCAACTTCAGGATACCAGCCCGAAGTCGCCTTCGTCACTGCGACCTTGACGACGTTCGCGTGCCTCCACAGAACTCGTCGAGCAGGTTACCTGGTCGACCTGGACACCACCATGTGCTCTGGTCGACCACTAGGTGCCTCTGGTCGACCACTAGGTGTCTCTGGTCGACCACTAAGTGCTCTAGTCGACCACCAAGTGCCTCTGGTCGACCACAGCTCCCGTCGAGCAACACCCTGGTCGACGGACCCCTCCGTTGACCAGCACTGTCAGCTGTTATTGCCGAGCTCCCCTCGTCGACCGCTGCTCACTTGTTAGGTCGTCGGGCTGCTCTGTCGACCTCCCCGTCGAACTGCTCCTCCTGATCGACGGCCCACCCGTCGACCAGCTTGGTCTGCAGTCGTCGAGCTGCCCTAGTCGGCGGCTCCAGCTCCGCTATAGTCCTGTGCAGGTCGACCACCAACTTGTCGATCTGCCCCGCAAAAGAAGGCCGTCGAGCACCCCAGGTCGACGGCAACACTACAGTGATTCCCTGCAGCTCGACAAAGCCTGTCGAGCAGCTCTCTTACCGTGAACAGTCGGCTGCTTCTCCCATGCATCCGACCAGGACGTCAGCGTCGCCCAAGCGAGGGCAGGGCCACCTCCATTCCCGTTAACAGCAGATAGTGTTATACACACACACCATTCCTCGCTTCGCCTTCTCAAGTTGCAGCCGCATTTGAGTCGTCGCCTGGCTAGATGGATGGAGTTCATGGAGGAAAATTTTCACTGCTGGATAGAGTACAAGCCAGGCGTTCACAACCCAACAGATCCGCTCACTCGTCCTAGTTACCAGCTCGCTAGCCTCACAGTCACTGCAGGCCATCCAATTCTCGCAGCACTCTTCGAGCACAGTTACACCGTTGATCCCTTCTTCATACCACTACCCCCCCGTAGAAGCAGAGGTGTAGGGTAGTGCATACATACGGAAGGGTACAGCACGAATTCGGGTTCCAGCCTACCTCCCTCTTCGACAGCTCCTTCTTTCCAAGGCACACGACGTAGTTAGTGCATGTCACTTCGGAGTAGATAAGACGGTTAAGACGCTTAGTCGCACGTACTTTAGGCCAGGGCTTGCGGCAGACGTAGAGGATCACATTCGCTCGTGCAATGTATGAAGTCTTCTCGCCAGCGCAAAGCAGGACTTTTGCAGCCGATTCCACCACCCGACCGTCCTTGGCAGGTAGTTACGATAGATTTCATCATGGCTTTATCGCACACAGTTAGGGGTCACGACGCCATCTTCGTGGTAGTAAACAAGTTCTCTCGAGCAGCGCACTTCATCCCCCTGCATGGCAAAGTCACGGCAGAGGAAGTTGCGGCGCTGTTCGTAGATAACAGAGTCCGACTGCACGGGGCTCTGGATTCCATCATTTCCGACCGCGACACTCGTTTTACCTTGAAGTTCTGGAAGCAGCTTTTTGCACTTTTTAGACTCGCTTAGCCATGTCTTCAACGTACCATCTCGAGACAGGCGGATAGACAGAGTGCGTGAACCAGACATTGGAATAGATTCTTCGCATCATCACGATGCATGACGTAGCAGCATGGGACAAGAAGCTGAGCATGGCCGAGTTCGCTTACAACAACTCGCATCATTCCGCCACAGGCATGTCACCAAATTTCGCACTGTACAGTCAGCACCCTAATGTCCCCTCTCGTGTCAATCTCACACCCACAGTCCCACGTGTTGACAATTTCCACCAGATCTCACCTTCATTCACGGTCACATGAGGAAGCACCTTGAGCTCGCAAATGCAGGCATGGCACGCACCACCAACCGTAGTCGTCGTGAGGTGTCGTTTGCAGTCGGCAGCCGTGTCCTTTTGGATAGCCGCAACCTCCAACTGCCGCAGGACAACAATCTTCGTCCACGTTCCATTGGTCCATTTGTCATCGAGCGCACTTGCTCCAGTTGCATACCGCCTTCGCCTTCCCGCTCATTTCCGCATGCACCCATCATTCCTCGAATTCGAGGCTTAGTACAGCCCCCCCCCCCTCCCCTCCCCCTCGTGTTAGCTACCTGAGGGTTTTCTATTTCAAGGAAGTCTTACGGGGGATTACTGTAGTGCAGCTCTGAGTTGTTTCTCATCACCTTGGCACTGCCCTTCACCTAGCCTATGGGGTGTGTCAATGTACACTTGTACAGGTTGTTGGAGTGCTTTGTTAGGTTTAGTTGGGTTGCGTGTAGAGGGTATGGGTTGTTGTTGTCTACCCCATTCTGGCACAATCTTCATTCTCTAACACACAAAACAGTACAAATAAAAAATAAAGGAAACTAGGGTCAATATTGGAGTCCCACTTTTTTAACACGTCAACCCTGACCTACCGTAAACCCCCGTATATAAGACCCCCTCCAGTTGTAGACCCCCGGGTCTATAATACGGGGGGGGTGGGTACTCTATTTGAGTATAACCGAGTTATACCCCCCTAAATGGCTCATGACATTATAAGATCCCCCACATCCTAGAAAAGGGCGTATTTTCAGCGAATGCAATAGAAAATGGTCATATGCCATCACACCCATGGACGCTCATGCATATGCCCATTATCAATCTAATCCTGGCCAGCAACCCAGATCTCTGCCTCCTCCCCATCATATCGCCCTTCTGCCCACCACTCATCGCCATCCTCCTCCTCACCCACTCCACCCTCCACCTCCGCACTGCCTTCCTCCTCACCCTCCTCACCCTCCTCATCCTCCTCCTCGTCCCCCCCCTCCTCCTCCTCCTCCTCCTCCTCCTCCTCCTCCTCCTCCTCCTCCTCCTCCTCCTCCTCCTCTTCCTCCTCCTCCTCCACCTCCTCCTCCTCCGTCGTCTCCTCCTCCTTAGATGGAGAGGAGGCAGCATCCCTGTCCTTGCTGGAAGGGGCAGCAGGGTCAGGGTAGAAGGGGTTGGGGATGAGCTCTTCGAGCTCCTCCTTGCACACATCCTCCAGCACCTCCACGCCCACCTTATCGCGGAGGTGAGCGAGGATCAGATGATCCTCGCTCCCGTCAACGGCGGTGGAGATGCCGCAGGTTACAAATGCTTTCTTGATCAAATCTTCTGGGACGTTGGCCCATGCCTACGCAATCCAGCAGAAAACCTTCTCCGGGGGAGGTTTCTTCAAATTCCCTGCGGGAAATGTCATGGGTAGGGGCAGACATGAGTCACCACGCGGTCAAGGCACACTGTGAAACGGGTACAACTTACGTGCTCACCTGCAGGGGTGAATGAGTCAATCCCCTCATCCTGGGACCACGTGGAGTAGCGGTGGCGAACCCCGGCTTTGAAGCTGCGGTTCACCGAAACGTCCAAGGGCTACACCAGCGAGGTGCAACCGCCAGGGATCACCGCGCGCGTCAGCTTAAACAGCTTCATCGTCTGGCCGACTGCTTCCGTGGTGTGCCCTCAGTAGGAGTCGAGGATGAGGAGCGCATCCTTGCGCTGCCTTTCCTCTTCGCGGTGCGGCTTCAGGAAAGGAACGAGAACCTTCGTTGTCTAGTCTTGGACAAGGTTCTCGTCCATCCAGCCCTTTTCCTGGGCTCGCACGACAACACCTGCACAACAAAAAAGAAACATTAGCGGTGGAATTCCTTCACCAAACTTTGGCATAGCATCCGGTAAGTCACAACTCACCTCGGGGTATGGGGATCTTCGGCAAGGTCTTCCGCTTGAAGACCACATACGGAGGGAGCTTCAAGCCGCCCGCGGTCACCGCCAGCATGACCGTGGCGCGCTGCTTCTCGTACCCCGCGGTGCGCACGTGCACAGTCCGAGCGCCTTTCATCTCGAGGGTGCGCTCGGCAGGCATCTCAAGGAACACGGGTGTCTGATCCGCGTTCACGATCAGGTTGAAGGGGTAGGAGTTGAGCACGCGCATCTGCCTCACGAATTCCCAGAAGGCCTCGCACCTCTGCTTGCAATCTGCATCGCACGGGATAAGGGGGTGTCAGGCCAGGTGGATATGGTACGATTTGACATCTGAAAACATCGGGTAGGCCGAGGTCAAGGTACCTGCAGCGAGCTTCTACCCAATCTTTGTCTTCACGCGCTGCACCAGTGACCACCGCCTGCGGAACCGCTTTGTCCAACGGTGGGACGAACACCACTTCGCCTGGGGGTGGCGATGCTTCATGTAGGTCGCCGCCCAACTCTGCAGCAAACTCATGGAAATCGGCAGGCCTCTCCTACGGTGCAACTGGAACCTGCGGTAGACCGCAACCTCCATATCGGGGTACTTGGGCTTTCGTCCCGCACCAGTGAGACGTTGGCGACACCCTGCCGCTTTGTCGAGCTGCTCCTTCAAGCCGCAGATCTGCTTCGGCTGGACTTTGGCGAGCCTTGCCAGACCCCGGACGCTCATAGGGGGCTGCACGTCAAGCATCTTGACCCAGTGAAGCTTTTCCTTGACAGTGTAAGCTTTCCGCGCCTTCTGCGTTCGTCGGCGCCTTGGCTCCGGCGTCTCTGCGTCGCGCACCCGCTTCTTTTGTCCCCGCGGTCGGCTTGAAACCGGAAACTCTGGAACCTTCACCTGCGGAAACGGACGGCGTGGGCTACCGCTGGACTCCTTATCTGTCTCCTCGCTGCTAGAGGAACTTAGCGTTGGCATGACGGGCCTGGGCGACGGCCTAGGAACAGGAGGATTCTGAACTTTCTTGCGGCGCCTGCGTCGAGCACCGGACGTCCCATTATCTGGTGATGTCACCATGGCGGCTAAAGTGGGGATAAAAGTGGCTGCTAGCTTCGAGGTGAAATGGAACAGGCAGCCATTTTCTATGCGGCAGCCAGCGGAGCACATGAAGGGGGAAAGAAATAGGAGGGGGAAGTGAAGACAGCCCTCACAAACAAGGATGTGCCAGAAGATCCCGCCCTTTCCAAGGCCCGTCCAGCCCACACGAAGCGTGCATGGGGTGTGAAGGTCGAGGCGACACTGCTCGCTGGGCCCATCAAACGGTGTGGTGTTTGTGGCCAATGGGAGGAGGCTCCCAGATAGGTTTTGTGATGACGTGGGTTTGGCCCGTGTGGAGACCAGTTCGAGTATCTTTGGGAGGTGCTAAAAACGGAACAATTCCAATTCAATTCTTTGAGCTCCAAAACAATAGTCTTAAAAGGTCAATTTGAAAAGACCCGGGTCTTATAAAATACATACCATTCAATTATACCCCCAACTAATTTAGGTCTGATTATCATAAGACCCTAGGGTCTTATATACGGGGTTTTACGGTAAGTGCATATCATTATTCAAAACCATACCGGTACGCGGTATAAAGGGATTTGTGGTACAGGTAGCTTTATTACTGTGTTATGAATGTAACAAGTACTACATCGATAGGGAAAGCCCTTTCGTGCTACTGTACCATACACCCTTTTGTTGGTCAAGTGCTAGTTGAATGCTACAAGGTCTACTCTCGTCAGGAGGCCTGTTTCTGCTTGCACACGCATGAGAGCGCTTCTTTTGCAATGAGAACTCGGAAACTCAATGGGATAGAACATAATGGGCAGAGACAAGAACAAGAACCAGGAGCAGCCTGCCCCCAAGTGTATCCTACCTCAGCACATCCTGAGCAGCAGCATTGGCATGGGTGTGCCAGCATTACTCCACCTTCCCGTGACCCAGCACCCCCCCATGGACCTTGGCATGGCTGTCCGGCATTCCAGGGGAGACGGGGCCGTTGGAGGGGGAGGAGTGGGGGGAGGCGTGGGGGGAGGCGTGGAGAGGCGGCAGCGGCGGGATGTACTTGAGCCCCACCAGGTCCGCCACCTCGTCGAGCACCTGGGGGGAGTGGGGGGGGGGGGGGGGGGGGGGGGATCAGGGGGGAGAGAGGAAGAGGGCGAGTGAGAGGGAGAGGGAGAGAGGAGGGAGGGGAGGAATGTTGCATCAAGCGACGAGTGTGTGGGCATGGCACAGACGCTGGGTTGATAGTGCGCAAGGAGACGCCCATGTACTCACCCGTGGACGGCCTCACTTCTGACCTCGCGATGCAGCACCGTGACTCAGGCGCAGCTTGGACGGGTGATTGTAACATCACCAGGGGCGAGCTTGCTAGCACGGGGAATGGCTGGGCAGCACGCCAGCCAGCAGACGGAAAGATGTCACACTCACGGCACCGGGGCTCTTCCTCCTGGCAGTTGAAACGTACGGCTGCCCTTGCTCTGAGGTCCTCGATTTCATCAAGCTCGTAGCTACGGCAGCGGCAAGGAGGCTCTTCACCGCGGATCCTACAATACCAGGCAGCTCAGCTGGGCAGTGCGAGCAGGCGGTGGCCTTCCATAACAAGGCCAACCTGCCCTCTCAGCCTGAGCACCCGCCTGTTGTTTCCCATTGAGGTTTGCGGTGTTTGCGGCAGATGTTTGCGGTGCAATAGCTTTAGGTTACTCACCTTCTCCATCTGTTTGCGGTGCAATAGCTTTAGGTTACTCACCTTCTCTATCTGTTTGCGGTGCAATAGCTTTAGGTTACTCACCTTCTCTATCTGTTTGCGGTGCAATAGCTTTAGGTTACTCACCTTCTCTATCTGTTTGCGGTGCAATAGCTTTAGGTTACTCACCTTGTCTATCTGTTTGCGGTGCAATAGCTTTAGGTTACTCACCTTCTCTATCTATTTGCGGTGCAATAGCTTTAGGGTACTCAACTTCTCTATCTGTTTGCGGTGCAATAGCTTTAGGTTACTCACCTTCTCTATCTGTTTGCGGTGCAATAGCTTTAGGTTACTCACCTTTTCTATCTGTTTGCGGTGCAATGGCTTTAAGATACTCACCTTTTCAATCTGTTTGCGGTGCTATAGCTTTAAGATACTCACCCTTTCTAACTGTTTGCGGTGCAATAGCTTTAAGATACTCACCTTTTCTATCTGTTTGCAGTGCTATAGCTTTAAGATACTCACCTTTCCGATCTGTTTGCGGTGCTATAGCTTTAAGATACTCACCTTCTCTATCTGTTTGCGGTGCTATAGCTTTAGGATACTCACCTTTTCTATCTGTTTGCGGTGCAATAGCTTTAAGATACTCACCTTCTCTATCTCTTTGCGGTGATATAGCTTTAGGATACTCACCTTTTCTATCTCTTTGAGGTGCTATAGCTTTAGGATACCGTAACACCCCGGATATAAGACCCCCTCCAGTTGTAGACCCCCAGGGCTATAATACGGAGGGGGGTATGCTAAATAGGTCGTTTATAGTTATACCCCCCTAAATGGGGGCTAACGTTATAAGAACCCCCTCCCCCTATGGAATTGGTCAATTCATAGGCAATGAATGCAATTCTGATTGCTTTTCTACCCTTTTCCTCACCAAATCCCATAAAATGTTCATTAACGAGGGGTAACAGCCAGTCACAAAAGCACATCTACTAATCATCCTGTCCATTCCGTTTATTCATTTGAATGCTAAAAACAAAATTCATTCCGCGTATTCCTTTTGAATGCAAAAAACGGAGCACATAGTATTGAGATGTATGGCTTCCAAACAAAGTTGGAAAAAACGCTACTTTGAGATTGCGTATTGAGTTTATACGCATCTAAAGTTCGTACGCTGCGGATTTTCCTAAAATTCGCCAAATTTCTCTCGGGCTGACCGGAAAAAAAAAATCAGTTAGAGTTCGCGATCTGGCGAGCTCAAATTTGAGTCTCGAAATTCAGACCTGAGTTCGCGAATTGCAAATGCGACTTCAGATCTGAATTTCGAGATTGTTTGGTTGATCATCCCCTCCTATCCACCGCTCAACAACCCACTCCACCCCATCCAATTTGTTGCCAACTTCTACCAGACTCATCCTCCCCGCTCAATGTCAGGCCGCTTTTCCGTCGATAATCTCTCCGTTTGATTTCTTCCTCCCCTTCTTATTTCACTTGCGACGATGACCTACTAAAGCAGCAATTAGGTAGTGGACTACTACAGCAGCTCCCGTTTCCATCTCTTGGCCTAGCATCTAACCTGCCCGGGGGAAATGTTTTTCCTGCCCGGGCAAGCGGATTCTTGTGCGTACCAGACCCCTCCCAGCCAGCGTTTTGCGTTTAGACGCTAGCGTTTATACGAAAGCGTACTAAACGCGAAACGCGTTTTTTCCAACTTAGCTTCCAAAAACATGGGTAATATACATGACCTTATGATTAAACCCGGTTCTTATAAAATGTAGCCAACTGTTAAGAAAACCCCCATCTTTGGGGTGGGATTCTTATAATAGCCCCGGGTTTTTTATCCGGGGTATCACGGCAATCAAATTTTCTATGTGTTTGCCTATCCCTCCTGTGCCGAACATATAGTCATACAAGGACCGCTTGAAAGGTGAGGGGCCGTGATGGGATGGGCACAAGTGTGGGTTCAGGGATTATTGAAAGAGCGAGAGAGAGATCCCTCAGCTCTACGCCCTCTGCCCTCTAACCTCTGCCGTCTGTCCCCTACCCATGCAGCACTTGCTGACTGTCCGTCAGCAAGCACAGGTGCCCCGGGGACTCCATGGAGCCAGTCACGTGGTTCGGGGACGCCATGGAGCCAGTCACGTGGTTCGGGGACTCCATGGAGCCAGTCACGTGGTTCGGGGACTCCATGGAGCCAGTCACGTGGTTCGGGGACTCCATGGAGCCAGTCACGTGGTTCGGGGACTCCATGGAGCCAGTCACGTGATTCGGGGCAGCAGCAGCACTGTGACGTGACGACCCCGCACACACCCGCCACCACAACCCCATGAGCAGTACGCAGCTCAGCGCGCCGACTGCCCGCCGCCTATGAGGCGCGGAGGAACAAATGGAGCCTTCGCCGCTCCTCCTCCCGCCCCCACGAACCGTGCCTCCGCTCGAAGGCCATCCGCGGAGGTCAAAGCAGAGGAGATGGGGGCGATGGGGCCCTGGACGAGAGACTCGCCCTGGACGAGAGACTCCAACGTGCCGCCCTGCACCCACCGCAGTGCGCTGTCCAGCGAGGAGGGCAGGGCGCTGTCCAGCGAGGAGGGCAGTGCGCTGTCCAGCGAGGAGGGCAGGGCCTGGAGCGCAGGTGTACTTGGCAGTCACTGTGCACGCCATTCCTCCCGCGCCCACGGCTGCTACACTGCCCGCACTCACCACCTGACTTGAACTACCGGTACCCAGCCACGGGCCAGCTGCCCAGCGGGACAGAGGACAGCGTGGTGTATCACAACCAGCAGGCACCTCGCCCCGACCATGACGCAGCCCCGACCATGACGCAGCCCCGACCAACCATGACGCTGCCAAGTGGATGCGGCACAAGTGGATGCGGCACAAGTGGCTGGCCGAGCGCGGGAACTTGGTGAAATCCCTGCGAGCCACTCCAGTCTTGACGCCATCACCACAAGTCCTTTGTGCCTTAGCATCAAGTCACCCAGAGGCTACCCAACCAGTCCCTGACCGGGTGGCTGCTTTCAGCCCAGAGATCGTCCTATCTATACCGACCCGCGACATCCGTCACATTCACCCGCCGTACCGCTCACAAGCGTGTCACAAAATTCAAGGGCTAACTTCGGCTATTTGCTCCGTTGCGCAACGCACTGCTTCAGCGGCCCTAAAACTTGTTAAAGCAATCATACAAGAAATGTTGAAGGGTTATGCACGCAATCGCGATTTAACCGACGCATTCACCCACGTTACCGCCTCATTCACCCACCTTACGACTGCACTCACCTCCCCGGGACAACCTCTGCGCTACGGCCTCAAACATTGCCCCTCATGTCTCCCGCACTACATCACAATTTCACCGCCGAGCCTGCGGGTAATGAGCAGGCCCATGGGCACAACGGCTGCGTGCACGACACTGGTGACGGAGCGCCTTGCTGCGTGCACGACACTGGTGACGGAGCGCCTTGCTGCGTGCACGACACTGGTGAGGGAGCGCCTTGCTGCGTGCACGACACTGGTGAGGGAGCGCCTTGCTGCGTGCACGACACTGGTGAGGGAGCGCCTTGCTGCGTGCACGACACTGGTGAGGGAGCGCCTTGCTGCGTGCACGACACTGGTGATGGAGCGCCTTGCTGCGTGCACGACACTGGTGAGGGAGCGCCTTGCTGCGTGCACGACACTGGTGACGGAGCGCCTTGCTGCGTGCACGACACTGGTGAGGGAGCGCCTTGCTGCGTGCACGACACTGGTGAGGGAGCGCCTTGCTGCGTGCACGACACTGGTGAGGGAGCGCCTTGCTGCGTGCACGACACTGGTGAGGGAGCGCCTTGCTGCGTGCACGACACTGGTGAGGGAGCGCCTTGCTGCGTGCACGACACTGGTGAGGGAGCGCCTTGCTGCGTGCACGACACTGGTGAGGGAGCGCCTTGCTGCGTGCACGACACTGGTGAGGGAGCGCCTTGCTGCGTGCACGACACTGGTGATGGAGCGCCTTGCTGCGTGCACGACACTGGTGAGGGAGCGCCTTGCCGTAGCAGCTGAGCCTCTCCCGGTCATGGCGCACATGAACCCCCGGCTGTGCCGCCTGCTCCCCACACACTGTGTCAGCCGGCGGGCTTCTTCCTCGCCACAATGACACCCATGGCGCCCATGCCAGCAGAAGAGTGGTGGGCGTGGGGGAAAAGCCTCCTCAGCACCTATCAGAAGCACATGTCGCCATCTGCGATCTCGACTCCGGCAAGGTGTGGCTCTGCCACATCACAATTGCAAACCCAATCTGTCACCAGGACCCCCTCGCTAGTCGCGCTCCTGGCTGAGCCGCAAGGGCAGGTGCAACTGGAAAAGAGGCACACTTGGGTGGGCTTCCATGAGCTCGCGCGTGAGGCACATGGCTACCCCTTGCCAGGGGTTTGGAATGTCTTTATTTCACATAGACTGGTGCGGAGCGTGAGTGATGAATGCATCTAAAGAGAGCACTTGCATCTTGAAACGTATTCACACCTTGAGGGCGCATTCGCACCTTAAGGGAACATTCGAACCTTGAGGTCGCATTCGCACCTTAAGGGTGCATTCTCACCTTGAGGGCTCATTCTCACCTTGATGGTGCATTCAAACCTTGCGGGCGCATTCGGACCTTAAGGGCGCATTCTCACCTTGAGGGCGCATTTGCACCTTGAAGGTGCGAAGGGATACTCTACACCTGGAGCTGGACTACAGGAGAAGGCACGAGTGGTACGAGTGATCGTGTCTTTCCTTGTGTTCTCTCTATTTTTCTATTTCCGTGTTCATAGGGTCGTCAAGAGATTCGCGAGCAAAAGCTGAGAACAATGAATACACCTATCAAGCAAGCAGGTAGTCCTCCAGCTCAGCACGGGGGCGGCTTGCCAACAAAGCAAGTCGACAGTGTGCCAACACAGCTCAAAGGCGGCTCGCCAACGTTAGAAGCCGGCGACCTGCCAACAGCGCACCAGCGCGGCTTGCCAACGCTGCAGCAAGGCGCCTTGCCAACGTTGCAACCACGGGTGACTATAGCGCACATGCGCGCACCACTTTGCTGGTGCTGGTTGACGGTTGCATGTCGTCCACCGTCACGCACGTCGTGCAGGTGTCAGGTCGGCTATGAGCCATCGGTTGCGCCAGATATGCCACGTCGACCTCGAGCTACCAGCCCGTAGGTCAATTTCGCCAAAACCTCCTGGGCAACATTCGTGCACCCGCACTGAACTTCGTCGAACAGGTAACTATGTCGACCAGGTAATCCCCGGCGCCCACAAGTGGGCGCCTGCAAGTCGACGAACTCCTTCGCTGTGGTCTTGCAGAAGTCGCCCAATTCTGACGACTTCCTCCCCGATGTCAGCGTCGTTCACTGACAGCAGCCGGCTGCACCTCCCACACACCCGGCTGAGAAATCGGCTTCGCCCAAGCGAGGGCGGGGCCATTTTCCGTCAACAGTTGCGCATTCGCACCCTTGAGGGCGCATTCTCACCTTGAAAGCGCATTAGCACCTTGAGGGCGCATTCTCACCTTGAGGGCGCATTCTCACCTTGAGGGCGCATTCTCACCTTGAGGGCGTACTCAAGGTCGGCGCGGGTGTGAGCGGCGGAGATGCAGATGCGGGCGCGGCCCAGCAGCACAGGCGTGGCGGGGAAGCCTACCACCACCACCGCCACCTGCTCACAACAAGCAGGTCAGGGAGCGTTCTTATGTCCGCTTCGTGTAGCGGTGTGCCGATGGGTAGATGGGAAGATGGGCAGATGGTAGCAGATTGGAATGGGAATGGACAAGCGTGGAGATTCACACAGCTGCGCATTTAAAAAGGGAATGGTGTCGGACAGTAGAGGCAAGAAGGCTCTGCGATGGTAAGGCACAGTGATGGCAAGGCACAGTGATGGCAAGGCATTTAACACCTTGTCAGGATCGAGCCTCCAGAGGCAGCAGTGGGTGGCAGCAGCGGGTGGCAGCGGGGAGCGGGCGCTCACATGGCGTTTGAGGCATTCGCGGGAGAAGGCGGCGATCTTGCCGGGGTGGTAGATCATGATGGGCATGACGGGCGAGTCCTCGTCGCCCAGCACCTCCAGCCCCAGGCGCTGCAGCTCCCCTCGGAACCAGTTGCAGTTCTCCCTCAGCTGCGCCAGCTTCTCCTGCCCTGCTCGCCCACCCCAGCGCGCACACATGGGCATAGGGGAGCGTGAGGAGGAGGGGCGTAGGGGAGAGCACATGGGGTGCGAGCATGGAGCGGAGGTAGAGATAGTCATGTGGCGACTCATGGGGCATGCTAACTGCCATGCGCATGTGGGTGCAGCAGCTAAGGAGGAAAGTGCAGCCCCTGTGGAGGCGAGAGCAGCACACGAGCGTGGAGAGAGGTGGGGACAGCACAGGGAAGCTGACCTCTGGAGGAGCCGTCGTGGCCCAGCAGCAGCTTGAGCGCCGACAGGATCTGCTGCGCCGCTGCTGGCGCCATCGCCGTCCCGTACAGGTGCCCGGGGCTCGTGGCCTTGAGATATGCTATCAGCTCCTGGTGAGGCACGCACAGATGGAGAGGGGGGAAGGCAGAGTGGAGGGAGTGGTGGGGATATAGAAGTGCCATCGGCAGGTAAAACGATGTGTGCGATGGTTACAAGTGACGAAACGGGGAGGAGACATGGGAGCAGAGAGCAGGTGAGCAGGGCGTGGGGAGCGGGGCGGACGTGGGAGGCGGCGATGTAGCCACCGCAGGAGCCGAAGGACTTGGTGAAGGTGCCCATCAGCACGTCCACGTCAGCCGGGTTCACCCCCGCCACCTCGCACACGCCGCGCCCCGTGCGGCCCAGCGCGCCGATGCTGTGCGCCTCGTCGAGGAAGAGGTAGGCCTTGTACTTGCGCTTGATGTCGACGATCTCTTGCAGGCGGCAGATCTCGCCCTCCATGCTGTAGATGCCCTCCACCACTATCAGCACCTTCTTCCACGGCCGGTGCGTGCGCGGCTGCCCCTCCGCTATCGCCGTGCGCAGCACCTGCTCCAGGTTCTCCGGCACTGCCCTCCCCACATGGGCACGCGGTCGGATGAGGTGGGGTGAGGTGGGGACAGGGTGGGTGAGGCAGGGCGAGCAGGGAAGAGGCAACAGAGGGATGTGGTTTGACCACCTCATGCACATGCGGGCCCTTGAGGCATGGGTTGCTTGCGAGGCATGGGTTGCTTGCGAGGCATGGGTTGCTTGCGAGGCATGGGTTGCTTGCGAGGCATGGGTTGCGAGGCATGGGTTGCGAGGCATGGGTTGCGAGGCATGGGTTTCGAGGCATGGGTTGCAGGGTACGGCAGTATGGCCCAAGGGGCGCACATTGAGCAAAAAGCCCAAAGCAGCAGGTGCGAGAGGGAGAGGATGGGCTGACGGAGAAATTTTGCACAGAGGGGTTGGCAAGCGAGGAGCAGCGGGTGAGGAGTGCAGGTGGGCGCACCGTTGTGTTGGAAGACCTTGATGCCGGCACCCGACGCACGTGCTCCCGCGATGATGCTGCAGTGGTTGAGCGAGTCACTGATGATCAGACTCCCCTGCCCTCCACACATGGCAGCATGCGATAGCACATCAAAGGATAGTCGCAGGCACAGGTATGAGTTGTGACTCTTTCCTATGAGCTGGCAAAAATATGAGAAGCGCCTGCAAGTGAGTAGTGAGTGGTGAGAGGTGGGCGGGCAACGGCACACCTTGCCAACGAGGGCGGGCAGGGTGAGGGAGTTGGTGGCGAAGCCCATGCCGTACACGAGGGCGGCTGGCTTGCCGATGAAGTCCGCCATGCACCGCTCCAACTCCACGTGCACCCCAGTCGTCCCTGCCAGTGCCACCCACCCCCAATGCGCTGCGCGTTTAGATGTGCTTGAAGAGAGCCACATGCTAGACGCGCGTAAGTGCACCCATCAGAGTGAGGGAGAGCAAGGTGCATAGGTGTGAGGGGCTGACCTGCGTCGGTGTGAGGGGCTGACCTGCGTCGGTGTGAGGGGCTGACCTGCGTCGGTGCGGCTGCTGCAGGTGGAGGAGCCGAAGAGGCGCAGCGAGTCCTGGGCACGGGGAGTGCAGAAGGGGTCGGGCGCACCGAAGCCCAGGTAGTTGTACGACCCCAGGTTCAGACTCCGCACCACTGACTCCTTGCGCCTGCCGCCCACCCGCCATCCCATACCCCATGCCCCATGCCACACCACATGGCACATGCATGTCCAAGGGTGAGGGAGTTGACAAGGGTAAGAAACGAGTGGTTGGTGAGGAAGGTGGCATGGCGTCTGAAGCACGGAGATGCAACCATTGCAATGCTCATGCATGGGTTGGTGCAAGCGGCTCACACGAGGGTTGGGGCAAGCGGCTCACACGAGGGTCTGGTTGTTGTCGTGTGAGTCGCGGTTGACGACGTCGATCCATGCGTCTGGCGCACTCGCGATGGGCCGGTTCCAACAGTCCTGCACCCCACCACCCCCGCACCGACGAGTCATAGACGTGAAGTCAGCAACATGGCATAGACGAGCGTGGGGTGAGAGTGGGAGGCGCACCTTAAGGCGAGGGGCGCACCTGAAGGCGAGGGGCGCACCTGAAGGCGAGGGGCGCACCTGAAGGCGAGGGGCGCACCTGAAGGCGAGGGGCGCACCTGAAGGCGAGGGGCGCACCTGAAGGCGATAGTAGAAGCGGCGAGTGTAGAAGTCTTCAAAGTCGCGACACAGGGGTGCGTAGCCCTGCCACCACACAGCACAGCGGCAGCACGCACGGCGATGAGGCATGGGGATGAGGCACGGGGATGAGGCATGGGGATGAGGCACGGGGATGAGGCACGGGGATGAGGCACGGCGATGAGGCACGGGGATGAGGCACGGGGATGAGGCACGGGGATGAGGCACGGGGATGAGGCACGGGGATGAGGCGCGGGGATGAGGCACGGGGATGAGGCACGGGGATGAGGCACGGGGATGAGGCACGGGGATGAGGCACGGCCGCACGGGGATGAGGCGCGGGGATGAGGCACGGGGATGAGGCGATGAGCAAGCAGCAGCGATGGAGCCAGCACCGATGGCCGCGCAGTGAGTTCGCCTACGCACTGGGGGGCTCGCGATCGTAGCAGCAGCAGCAGCACGCGGCGATCAACCGGTGAGACCAGGCGGTGACGAGCTCGCAGCAGTGTCGCCATGCCCGCCGCCAAACTCACACTACCTCTCCGCTCGATCCACTCCGCTCGATCCTCTCTGCTCGATCCTCTCTGCTCGATCCTCTCTGCTCGATCCTCTCCGCTCGATCCTCTCGCTCAGTCAACGCGTGCTGCTCTCGTGGTGCTCGCTGCGAGATGCGACCCCACGAGCAGCGGCCTCAGCTGCCAGTGGCTACAGGGACGCCGTCCGCCACGCACCTTCAACGTGTCCTTGAGCTGCGGAAGCAGCGAGCGAAAGGTGTCGCGGATGTGGCCGAAGAGGAAGAGGAAGCCATAGCTGATGTACGTCGTGAGCGCCGCGAAGTACGGAATGTGAAGCGTCATGGCCGCCGCCTGGCGAATCGCGAAGCACTAGCACGACCAAAGCCGCTGAGCCCAAGGGCTGGTAGCTTGGCTTGCACACCCTAGGAAAGCGCGGAACTACGAGTGGCACACCAACGATCAGCTCGTCAAATCCTGACAGATTTAGTAAGCGCGTGGAAACTTGGTTCGTTCCACGTCGTACGGCCGTGAATGGATCTCATCCCAGGGCCACCATGGCCGAATCGGAAGCCTTGAAGTTAGTTTCCTCAGCCCGAACTGTTGAAAAGATAGTGTTCTCAGAAGGGCGCGTGTGATCTGTTTTCAAGTTCGGTTTAAAAGTCAAACTTTGAGTGGTTACTCGCTTCGCCAATGTCGTCAAGAAGCTTTAGCACAGGCATGAGAATTTTGGGTTCACATAAGTGCGAATGTCAAATGTGAACTCAACTCGAATCACATGGGTGTACGTGCGAGTGCACGTTGAGCCAGGGTGTGCTGTTTTCAGCACGTACGAAGCCTATGCAAAAATCACGACTGCTTTGCGAAGGTTGCGGAGTTTCGTTGCGCGTAACTTTGACGTGTCGCGCTGTACCAGGTAACAACACCCCCAACGGGCGGCTCGCCGCTTTCCCTAAAAGGTCGAATCTCTGTGTTCGACCTTGGGTGTGTGATTGTGACTCGTCTGTGTTGGAGACCCAAGATTCGAACTTCGCTGCAAGGAAAGTCGAGTATTGTTCTAATGCTACATTCGACCTAAAAACATAAGCTTTCACAATATTCTCGACATTCCTTACCGCAACCATCAAACATCGCTTACAGCAGCAGCCGTTGTTCGCCCGTTACTGCTAATTGGAGCTTCCCCAACTTCGCGCGCACTGTTTTACCAAACCATGCACTGCTGGCCTGGCCGAGTCCGCCTACGCTTCGGGACTAGCCCGAATCTCGATGCAATCCTAGCACTAGCTAGCTCGCACGCACCGCGTAACCGTTGCATGTTTTCGCACATAAGAATTCGCTCATGCCTGCGGAGAATAGGCGATTATGGGAGAGCCTAGGCGCAGAGTTGCACGATCAGAGAGTGAAGTGCGAGTTTTCCGTGTACGGACTTGCTGGAAACCGGATACTGGTATTTGGAGAACAATATGTTTGGTATGCAGCAATAGGCTTGGTATCCAGTAACGAAAGGAAAGTAATTGATTGATTGATAGATTACAACAGATACAACATGAACCTTATAGGAAACATAGTGACGTGTGCGAGAATGTTCTACGAAAACGTTGTCCATGAAGAACGTTGTCCAAGGAGAACGTGCAAGCCCCTACTCTAGTATGCGGTTCCAGGTTGGCACCGCCAGGTGAAAATGCCATCAGGTGAAAATACCGCCAGGTGCATCTTCTACCTTCCTAGGAGTAGTTGCGCAGGTGCTCTCAACAGACAGCTGCACATACTCGTTTGTGCAATGTCGTCACTTCCCTCCAGTTCGGTTCAGTGTTGAACAGTGCATACCAAAGTGCACAGATTGGAGTGTACTCGGCGAATACCGAAGCTCCGGTATGCGGTATGCGAAACCTCGCTACATCGCATAGGGCTGCTACACGCGAAACCAGGCGCATGTAGGGCTTCACCTTAACACTCCCCTGCCCTGCTCGTGCCTGGGCATCTGAGGAGTTAGCACACCACACAAAGCGAAAGGAAATAATAGAGTACAACAGGGTGACGATTCTGAAACTCGTCCGCGTGTTTTCCGCACACGCATACTCACCGCACCAGCCATGTTGAAGGATATGGCACCTATTCTTGCGCACCATCGCGCTCATCTTCTGCAAGATCAACTTGCCCAACGGCGACAGAGCAGCGCTTGAATGCCGGGGAATGCAGCCCCTTCGTGAGATAATCCGCGGGTTGCTCGCTCGTTGGGATGTACGTAAGCGCGATCTTCTTGCGCTTCACCATCTGCTGCAGCCAAATGTACCGCCGCTCCATGTGCTTGAGACTCCCCTTAAGCCCCATCCCTTCTGCAACCGCAATCGCAGATGAGTTGTCCACGTGGATGACGGTTGGCACTCTAGTATCGAGAATCTGAAATTCAGCGAGAAGAAAGCGCAAATGACGTGCCTCCTTGCCGGCCTTTGTTGCAGCAATGTATTCGGATTCCGTTGAGGACAGCGTCATGCACTTAATCCTCTGACTTGCCCACGAAACCGCAGCTCCGCCAAGCACGAAAACGTATCCACTGGTGCTGCTGCGAGTCTGCCTGTCACCCGCGTCATTGGAATCTGCATACCCCACCAAGCGCAGAGTATCCAGTCCACCACCAAACTCGAGGGTGAAATCACGGGTGTTCACCACGTAGTCAATGCAGCGGTCCAGCTCCCTCCAGTGCTGGTCACTGCGAATCGTCAACCCCGAGCCCAACTTGCTGCATGCATACGCAATGTCGGGACGGGTCGTGGTCGCGGTAAACTGGAGCGAACCCACTTTCTGGCGGTACTCCTCTTCACGCGCTTGGTATTCTTCGTCGTCAAATGTCAACTCAGTGTACGCGTCGATCGAGATAGGCGTTTTCGGGCGGCGACCTGACTGCTCTTCGTCCACAAAGTGGCGACGCAGCTTGTCCACGTATGCGCTTTGGTGCAGCCACAGCTTGCGCGCGGACCTGTCCCGTACTATCTCCAGCCCCAAATACTTCTGCACGGGAGTGATTTCCCGCAGCTCGAATGCGTTTTGCAGAAGCTCACGAAGGTCCTTCAGCATCTTGAGACTGCTACTTGCGGCGAGCAAATCGTCAACGTCCACCAGCAGCCAGCAACCGACTCCATCAGCACCGAACTTGAAGTAGAGCGCTTCGTCAACCTGACTCTTGCTCCACCCGCCGCCAATGAGTACGCTGTCGAGTGCCGAATACCACAGCAGGGGACTCAGTTTAAGTCCGTACAAGCTTTACAGAAGCTTGCATACGCGAGATGTACCGTCGTTGAAGTAATCCGGCTGCTCCATGTACAGAATTCGGTCCAACTTGCTCTGCAGGTATGTGTTTTTCATGTCCAGCTGCATGACGTGCAGATCGAGTACCGCGACGATAGAGAGGAAAGTGCGTAGCGTAACGTAGCTGCCGACTGGAGAATACATCTCCTCGTAATCCGCGCCATAGATTTGCGTAAATACCTTTACGACGAGACGTGCCTTCTCGCGGGCGACCGTGTCGTCGGCGTTGTACTTTGTCGTAAGAACCCACCGGTTCTTCATGACATTGACGCCGCGCGGTCGAGGCACCAGCTCCCATGTTCCGTTGGCAAGAAGGCTGCGCATCTCCTCCTCCATTGCTGCCTTTACCGCCTTCCCCTTCCAGCTCGCGAGTGCTTCCTTGACGATCATTGTGGAGATGTCCCACCGTCGTTCAGGGTCAGCGTGCATGTCGGGATCTAGTTCTGGCAGCGTGGTGTCTGCGTTTGCGTCATCAAGAAGTGTGTTAGCGAATACCGGGCACACATCAGCCCACTTCTTTGGAGGCACACCAAAGTTGGAACGGGTGGAGTGCCGTGTTGGCAGCTTGACTTCCACCACATCGCTTGAAGAACTGTCTCCAGATGACTCCCCTGCAGCTTTGCCAATGACCTCCACAACGTCGCTCGATGTGCTGTTGCTGATCTGCTCCCCTGTCATGTGCTCCCATGCCTGTTTCTGCATACCAGGTGCGCCGTTCTCAGAAGATGCGGTAGGTCAACCGTCGACGATGCCGATGCGCGGCGCCGAAGGTGGCGCGTCATGTCTCCCCTCATCGTCGGCAGCCGATGTGGACGGGGTGTCGGCGGTGGGACGAGAGAGGGTGTCTGCAGCCGGTAGCGGAGAGGAGATGATGGTAGGCGAGGAGGAGGTTGACGGTTTGGTGACCGGCACCACACGTGGGTATACCGGTGGGAGGGCAGAGCTGGGGATGGATGTGGGGATGTGCGGAGGTGCAGGTGCCGAAGCCGGAGCGTCAAGCGGATCGTCAATCTCCTCAGCGAGAAGACTCGGTGAAGGAGCGGAGACTGCCGAAGTGGATACCTTTGGTGCACTTCCTGGCGATTATGGGAGAGCCTAGGCGCAGAGTTGCACGATCAGAGAGTGAAGTGCGAGTTTTCCGTGTACAGACTTGCTGGAAACCGGATACTGGCATTTGGAGAACAGTATGCTTGGTATGCAGCAATAGGCTTGGTATCCAGTAATGGAAGGAAAGTATTTGATTAATTGATAGATTACAACAGATACAACATGAACCTTATAGGAAACATAGTGACGTGTGCGAGAACGTTCTACGAGAACGTTGTCCATGAAGAATGTTGTCCAAGGAGAACGTGCAAGCCCCTACTCTAGTAAGCGGTTCCAGGTTGGCACCGCCAGGTGAAAATGCTATCAGGTGAAAATACCGTCAGGTGCATCTTCTACCTTCCTAGGAGTAGTTGCGCAGGTGCTCGCAACAAACAGCTGCATATACTAGTTTGTGCAATGTCGTCACTTCCCTCCAGTTCGGTTCAGTGTTGAACAGTGCATACCAAAGTGCACAGATTGGAGTGTACTCGGCGAATACCGAAGCTCCGGTATGCGGTATGCGAAACCTCGCTACATCGCATAGGGCTGCTACACGCGAAACCAGGCGCGTGCAGGGCTTCACCTTAACAATGCCTTCACTCATACTTTATAATTTCGACCCACATAGTGCAATCCTCGCTACCTCATTCCATTGCACCCGTAACACTTGGTGTTCAGAGCCACTTTTCGGACCGCACATCTCCGCACCCCAGGATCAACTTTTGATTTTTTTGCTCGAAGGGAATCACGCCCCTTAGCACCTAGGAGCAATGTTCTCGCTTTCTCTCGTAAACGCGTGCAGCCACGACTGCGCCTAGACTAAGCTGAGCCGACGCCCTTCAGAATGGCTGAACATATCGACGTCACGACACTCACATAGGAGCGTTTGAACGAACTGCTGCAGCAACTGCACGAAAGCTCCGAAGAAATTGAGGCGCTGACGGCAGAACTTA